CTTCGGCTTCCGGCTCAGTTCAGAATACCGCCCTCCCATCAGACGCAAAACCTCCCCCCACAAATCATCAGACAAAGACGAGCTCTGCAAGATCAAATCCGCGCTGCAAGCCGCTACATACCAATATTCGGACTCGATTTCCTCTATGAGCTGGTCCATCTGCCATCCCGCGTACCCTATAAAGAATCTCAAGTCGCGTGGCGAAATGGACCCTTTCTTAACCAGGCCCGCGGCCTTGTCCAGACTGTTTCTCGACCCGAAGTAAAGCCCGGGAATGACCTCCTCAAACAACCCGTGGGGCTCGATTTTCTCATCGGCCTTCAGAAGGTACATGCTGGCATCGACGGGCCCACCAAAGTGGAGAGAGCAATCGGCAAAAGTGGTCCCCAGCTGGATGTTTGTGGGGTTCATGTGCTTCATCTTCTTGTTGAGGGGCCGGTTGATGATTATTCCGTGGGGCCCCTCTTGGGGGTTTTTGGTGCCTAATCGGAGGAGGAGGATCACAGTACGCTCGAAGGTTTTGAATCCGTCGAGCTTCTCGGAGGCCACGAGGAGGCAGCCGATCTCGGGGGATGAGATGGGGTGGGCCCACTTGTGGGGGAGAGGTTTCGGCTGGCCTGCGGGGGTTCTTCTCTCTTGATGTCGAGCGTTATCTGCATTTTCGGCCTGCTAAAAAGATGGAACTTTATTATTCCAACTACACGTTTCTAAATTGTTGAATGAAAATAACGAACACAACAATTTAATCAAAGCAGGAAAGGCTATATTCACAACTGGAGGTTCATAAATGATATGTTGAAGAAGGAAGAAAGATCAAAGAAGAATAATTAAATATAAAAAAATAAATAAAAGATACCTGCTCCTGAATGTAGAGAGATGCTCTAAACTCTCTCCAATCCAAGGGTTTACGTTGGGACTTGTTCGAGCCGTTATCACTTGATTTCTTCTTGTTGTTGTTGTTTCCTTTCAGGCCATCTCCTCCACTTTTCAAATGATCGTTGTTCCCTGTAAAATCAAATGAATCACAAGTCACACAACAAGATTTCAAGACATTGTCATGTATTGGAAAACCAAGTAATATTGATATTTGATGCTGCAACTCATCAAGGATAACAATATTCTACACAGACAATTCGGAAACTAGAAATATATAGAGATGGCTGGCTACTTAATTGTAAGCGACAGAACTCGTCTATCCAAACAAATTAACTTAACCAGACCCCTATCATTCATGCTCTCTGCATAATAAAAGCAGAAAAGCCAAACATTTGCAGTCATCCATTTGATTCGAGTGAAAGAATTCTACTCACAGAAAATCGTATTGCTACATCCTTGCATGAATTAATGTAATTGTGTGGTTCGACTATTTTCCCATGTGAAGCCGAATGACCAAATAGATTTGGAGAAGTAAAGCACCCACCATTGCAGTTTTCCACTAAGCCTTAAGAATCATATTTCACCATTTATGTACGGTATGAACTCCAGCTCCATTTCATGAAAAAATTAAATCCACCAACACAAGCTAAACCCAAAACTCTCATTTATCAATAAGTTTTTCTAAGCATATCAGCAAAGTAAATTAGATTAAAAAAAGCTCCTAGACGAAACTCATATTTCGATGCAACAACAAGATGTTATTTGTAACAAGTAGTTTCGTTGGTTGGTTAATTGGTTTCATTTTATTCACGAAATGGCTTGATTTATCCAGCAAGAACCAGAAAATCACATACTTTAGAGTGTTTGATTTATCCAGCAAGAACCAGAAAATCACATACTTTAGAGTCTGCAAACACTCTACATCTAAACTACATTTTGATTTTTTATTGCATTCACTCAATTAAGAGTTAATTGTTCAACTTCTATCAGCTGATCAACAAATGAAAAGTTCAAAACGGGACCTCCCCCAATTTCACATACAGAACTTTACTCAACAATTATAATAATAAAATATCAAATGAATTTACATGATCGCCCAAAAGTACAGCTAGAAACAGTAAAAACTCTCGGCTGAATAACACGGATCTACCCACCAACGTAACCCAATTAAGAAGGGAAAATCTCACCTGAGCTAGAAGAGGAATTAGAATCATAATTACTGGAATCCCCCGGATTCTTCTTCGCCATGGCCTTAATCAAGGCCGATCGGTACCTACAATGGCCGGGCAAAGATTCCCCCCACGAAACCTTAATTTCTAGAGCCATTGAATGAGCCCTCAAGCCCCAGAAAATGGGTTTCTCCGAAAATGAGCTTCTCAGCAGAAAATCAGCGCCTTTCGCATGCACACAGCACAGATCCATTAACTCCCTCAAAAATCAACTAATTAAAACAAAAACAGAAAGAAAAAGAGGTAAAAGCAGCTGGGCCTGTTAGTTTCCTTTCTTGAGCTGAGGATAAAGTTAGCCGCGAGAAGAGAAGAAAATTGGAGTGGAGTGGAAAAGGGAAAGCGTGAGCGAATATGCTGAGGAATTAATAACAGAATGATAAGAAAAGGACAAATGGTGAAGATGATAGGTGTAAGTTAGCCTAGTTTGGACAGCTTTTTCTATTTTGCGCCTTTTGGTAGGCTATAGCGTACAGTTATAAAAACCCCTTTTACTAGTCACCGCCCCCAATTACTCTTTTGCCCTTAACCCTTTTTTTGATTTCATCTCTCTAAACTTTCTATCTCTCTAAACTTCCGAACTTCAACGAACGATTCGAGCATAAAAAAAAATCCAAAAAAATGTCGAAAAAATTCTACGGCCTCGGCAAAGGATTCTTCTCCAACAAGGTAAATTTTTTTTTTTTTTTTTCGCCGGAAGTATTTTTAAAAAATTTTTTTTTGAACCTGCCGAACCGGCCGGCCGTCGGTTCCGGACGGACCACAGGTTGTCCGGTCGGCCGAACCGGCCGGCTTTTGGTCCGTCCGGAACCGACGGCCGGACGGACCCCGGCCGGTCGCGAGCCGGCCGGACAAAAATCAATTTTTTTTTTTTTTTTTTTTTT